GGGGGGCCCCCCAATCTGCCATCGTGCTGTGTTATGTCATGAAGGCACCTGGAGATCTTGGGAAGCAGCTCCCCACACTGGGGAAGGACCTAACTGGGGTTGCCCCTGCTTGTGGTAAGTCAGCGGAGAACGGAAGAAGGTGATAGACAGGGTCGGAGAGGAGAGAGAGCTGGAAATAGCTGCCTCCCAAATGCCGCGTCATCCCCGCCGAGGTGACTTTCCCTGGGCTGGGTGCCTCTGCACTCAGACACGCACGCCTTCCCCACCGCCACCTCTCCGTCCTCTCTGACCCTCTGCCCCGGATGAAACTCTCCCGCTCCCCAGCCGTGCCCGAGGCCGGAAGACAGAGGACCATGCTGTGTGAGTCACACCAACGGCAGTGAGTGACGTCCTGCAGCCTCTGACCGGGCGGCTTCCTGGGGGAAGGACAGTCGATGGCTGAGTGACAGGCTGCGGGCTTTGGGATCACCGCTGTACCTGTGTTTCTGAGCAGAGCCCCTCTGCGTACGGCGGTGAGTCCCCACATTTAGGGAAGCCGGGTTCAATGTCTGAGACTCTGATATGCTCAGAAAAGTAGCAAACGCTGCAGGTCACGGGTCAGGAAATGTCTGTAAAGTCCACACGTGGAGTGATTGCGGCCTGGGAGGCAGGGCGTTCTCTGTAGCAATGACTCAGCCCTGCCAATGTAGCGTGAGAACAGCCTTGGCCAGTAGGTGAGAGATCTGGGCATGGCTCGCTCTGTACCAATAAAGCTTTATTTATAAAAGCAGGAGGTACCCCAATACCCCAAAGGAGTGAAAGCAGAGACTTGAACTGCTCCTTGTGCACCCGTGTTCATAGCAGCACTAGTCCCAATAGCCAAAAGCTGGGCGCAACCCAAGTGTCCATCAGAGGATGGGGAGGGCGAACAAAGCGTGTTCTGTGCCTACAACGGCATATTGTTCAGCCTCAGAAAGGGAGGAAATTCTGACAACGCGGAAGAACCACGAGGATGTTGTGTCAAGTGGGATAAGCCAGTCACCGAAAGATAAAACTGTAAGGCGCCTCTCCTACGAGGGCCCTAGAGCGGTCGAGTCACAGAGAGTAGAAAGGTGATCGCCCGGGTGGAGTGGGGCGGGGGGCGGGCTGCGGACTTCGGGAAGAGGAGAAACTTCTGGAGACAGGCGGTGGGGGTGGCTGTCCAGCATGGCGGATGTGCTCCACGCCGCTGACCGGAAGGCTTCACAGGGGTTACCACGGTGTGTTTTGCCACGGTCTAGAAAAATGAAGATGAAAACACAGGAGGTGGACCAGATTCGCCGCCCCCTGCTCTGAATGAATTAGTGTTTATTAACCACTGTACATCCGTAGGCATTGAGAGGACAGGCAGAGCCCCCGCACCGCGTGTCCTGGGAGCTCGTCTGCAGGCAGCGTCGAGTGCCAGGGGTTGGGGTCTCTCACGGTGACGGGGGCCCCCAGTGCCTGGCAAATGGTGTCTAGCTTCCCTCCTAAGGACTTGGGTCCCTTCTTCCTCCTTCTCTCCTTTTCTTACCCTTGTAGTAATTCCATTATCAAACTCTCTGGCCTCCCATTTGCCTGACTCCCAAATCCCTGGTCATGAGGAGGCTGCTCCCTACCCCTTCAGCCGCGCTCCGTAAGGACAAGACGTTGGACAGAAGGACCCTTGGCACTGCTCTCAGATCGGTGAGGAGCCAATGACCCCTCCTTTTCCCCCCCTTAAACAAATTGCAGCTCCTTCTGCTGCCGGCTTTGTAAGGGCAGGACGGCAGCCCTGGCTTAAGTCCCCTTCCTCCCTGCCTTGGGAGAGGCGCTTCACCAACCCTCAGCCCCCATGCTGAGCTGGACGCCAGATTCCAAATAGACATGGCACACGCCACGGCCGCCTCCGGGGGCAGTTTGCCTGCTGAGCCCTGTGAGAACCGTCTGTCTTTTCCCTTGGGCCCCTCACAAGAGAACAACCAGCTCCCATGAGCTCAGACCCTTCTGAGCCATAGCTGAGGATGGTGACGCTGGCCAGAGGCAGGATGGTGCACAGCCTTGGCCTTGGAAGAGAGGGCTGTGTCTTTCTTTTTGACTCTCGTAAATAATGCTGCTATGACAGCGGTTCAACTTTCAGTCCTTTTGGCTCTATAGGCACCTCCTGTGTTTTATAAATAAAGCTTTATTGGCACAGAGCCACGCCCTGGCTTGGCTGCTCTGAGGCGCTGCCCTGAATGGCTTGCCTGACAGGAGTTGACGAGGGTCGGCAGCCCTTCTGGCACGTGTGACTCCACCCAACGTCTCCATGTCCCCGAATCCGAGTCGACTTGCCTGCCCAGAGTTAAAAAAGACCAAAAGTTGGGAAACCTCTTCCAGGGATGGCGGCGGCTTGTAAGCAAACACACTGATTAAACAGTGCTGTAGGTTAACGCTCCGCTTTTCCTCTGTTGCTAAATAACAACTCTGGCGCGTGGAGGGAGGGGCCTGTTGAAAGACACAGCAAGGGGCTTTGTTGGAGAAGCGAACAGGGTGACGTCTATGGAGGAGGAGAAATAAAAGAACTTTTGTGCAAAAGAGAGGGCAGAAATAATGAGGTGGATAATGGCAGAAAAACGTCTCCAGGTAGAAAATGAACTGAAAATCATGATTGCTGGAAACCATTTATTGAGCATGTACTACTTGCCAGGTACTGCTGGCTATATCTGTCTGTCTGTCTATCTCTCTCTCTCTATCATTGATCTATCTTATAAGAGATCTCCCCCCCACCAAGAAAATTGGAATTATCTCCTGGAGGGTGGCCCCTTGTAGCCCAGGCTTCCCCCACTTGGCGAGTGTTCCAGGAACCCATCTGTGTCGGTGCACCCGCTGGTGTTGTGAGAGGCTGTGGTCGGCTTTAGTGAATTTCTTTTGAAGGTTCTTTTCAACATGTTTGCTCATTGCATGATGGGTCATTTACGCGTGCACCAGCCCACCCTGCATTGAGTGTTCAGCAGTTTTTGACCAAAAACAGCAGGACCCCTGTGCCTCTCCCTCCCTATTCACCTGATCTTGCCCCAAGCGACTTTGTTTTCTTCCCCGGATGAAAAACGTTCTCACAGGGAAATGTTTTGCTGACGTAGAAGAGGTGAAACAAACAAAAAAAGTGGCAGAAGCACTGTAAGGCACCAAAATCAAAGAGCTCTGTTTTGAGCAGTGTAAAAAAGTCTCGATAGGTGTATTGCATCAAATGGAGAGTGCTTTGAAGGTGGCTGAAGTTTAAACATGGAAGCATAAATACACATTTTTTTACAAATAAATTCTGGGTTTTTGGGGGGTCCCCCCTCGTATGTATCTATATATCTATATAAATATTTATATCTGGGAGCAACCCTTTAAGGTGGTAGTTATTTTTATGAGGAAACAAAGCGTCCGAGAGGGTCCAAGCCCAGGTCACCCAGCAGGAAGGGGTCAAGTGGGGATGTAGACCCAGGTGTGGCCAAAAGCGAAAGCATCCCAGACCCCCGAGGGGAACGGGAGGCTTGGAGAGGAAGCAGACAGCCTGCCCCGGCTCCGCGAGCCAGCCAGCCAACCTCTGAGAGGCAGCACTGGTTTCTAGGCACCACCCGGAGGATGCCTGTCGAGTCACCGTGACTGTCTTAGTATTTGATGTCCTGTGGCTGTAAGTGACAGAAACATACCGCGACCCGCTGAAGTGGAAAAGGGGGCTCTTCCTTTCAAGGACAAAAGAGGGTGTCCCCTGAAACCCCAGCGCAGGAGTCAGCCAGACTGCTGGACATGCAGGCTGCTGGGCTCTCCCTGGACATACCTGCTTCCCCTTCTTCTGGAAAGGCGTGTACGTGGCAGCTCAGAGCGTGTCCGTGCCTGCAGGTGTCTGCCTGCAGGCCGGTCAGCTCTCCTGGGGGCTGGTCATAGCAGACAAAATAGCGGCTGTGAGTGGGGCAGAGGCAGCAAAGTTCGTGGTGAGTTGGGTGGCCTTCGGTCCTTCTTACCTCCCAACGGGCAAGTCAAGATTCAAGGGGTGAAACATTGCCTCCCAAGAGGGCACGTCCAATGGTAATGAAGGGACCGGGCGGGTTCAAGGTAGCCTCATGTGACTCAAAAGCCACGCTTATAGCCACCACGCAGACCTGCTCTGCAGGACAGCTCGTCTTAAATTCACCCATTGGCCAGAAGGTGGAAAAACCATTCGTTTGAGGCCGAAAACGATGGCTGAGGCTTCAACGATAGTTGAAGCCGAAAAGGTCCACTTGAGAGTCTGCACAATGTTTGGTCCATCTTCGTTTAAAAAGCCCCGCGTGCCACGATGGCGACCCATGAGCTATTTTCAACCACCAGCGATCTTTCGGTCAAGGGTCATCAGACATGAGGGCAAGTTGCTGCTACTGGGAGGGTCTGCCCATCCCTGAGGCCACGGGATTTCTCTAGGCTTCCTCCAGCCCTCACGCTGAACTGTGTCCAGAGAAACCACTCCTGGCAGGAAGTCAGGACACCCCCGGGGCGGGGGTGGGGGTTGAATGTTCTCATCTGACCTCCACACAATCCCCAAGCAGATGGCTCCGCATGTTTTCTTTGGCTTCCTTGTTGCACTTGCGCACGAATGTTCATTCTTAGATACCCGAGTTTACCCATGGGGTGGAGAGGATAGAGTTTGTTTACAAGTGAATGTTTTGGTGTGGACCTGACGTGACACTGACAGAGCTACTTGAGGGATGCTTGACCCTAAATGAACACTAATTCATGCCTGAAAAACTTGGCCAAGCTGAAGCTTTGGTCGAGCGTGATTCATCGGAATACCTAATGTTGTTTATCCCAAAAGGAGTATGTAAATCCACCTGCACATTTCCAAACACTGGGCAGATGCCAGCGGCGTGATTGGGGGAGCGTGCTGGAGGGTGTGCCTCCTCTGGCAGCAGAATGGTTCTACTCAGAGAAGGTTCCAGAAGGTTGTTGGGGGATGGAGGGTTTTTGAAGCTGTTTGTGAGGCCGAAGTCATTAATGACATCCTGCTTCTTGTTTTGCAGATTGGAAACCTGGAGAATTACTACCACTTTTATCATAGCAAGACCTTTAAAAGATCGACCTTGAGTAGCAGAGGTGTCCACACATTCCTTAGAATGGACCCCCAGGTACGGCCGCTCCCTCGGCAGGACGCGCTCCAAGGGTGTCCTTGGGTTTTTCCTTTGGATCCATGGCTCTGAAATGGCTGCACCTGGATTTTCCTGTGATTCTAGATAGCTCTTAGTTCCCCGTATTCTCTTTGAACAAAATGAGACAGATGCGTAACTACGTATAAGACCATCTGAGTGTTCCAAAAGTCGGGGTCTCTTATCGGACTGGAGAATTTGAATTCTTGGTTTTAGGTTGAAGCAACAATCAAGGGAGTATAGATTTGTTGATGTTTTCAATGTTTAGAAATCAACAATATATACAGTAATTACAAGAGATCAGTTATGTGATGCTTAACCCATGAGGGCAAGAAGATTAGGCAAGTCAAATGAGTGTTTTAATAATGAATTAGAGGTTGGGCAGATGGATGTTTTTGTGGTTGTCATAATGATGGGTATTTAAAAATTCAAATGAATTTTAAAATTTGAGCAGTAAATACAGCTTTTTTTTTTTTCCCCCTTAAATAGTTCATGTGTTGCCCTGGCCGGTGTGGTTCAGTGTGTTGGGTATCATCCCACAGGCCAGAAAGTTGTGGGTTTGAGTCCCGGTCAGGGCACATGTGAGAGGGGACCAATCGATGTGCCTCTCTCACATCGATGATTCTCTCCCCCTCTGTCTCTCTCCCTTCCCTATTTCAGCTGTTCCCAGAGAACGTGTATAAATCAAGCTTCTGTGGAGAAATAGGTTCTTGGTGTTGTCCCCAGCCACCCCATGACAATTGCGGCTTCATTTGTATTGGCTGAGCTGGGGGTGGGTGTAGTGTGTCCCTGGACACTGTTCTTAAGCATCACTTTGAATGGTTCCGATTGCAACATACGAGGATGTGGTCCCAGGGAGCGCATTCCTTTGCAGGTCTTATACGTGTTCTTGAGTTCATTTTATGGGTGGTAGGCAGAGGGAAGGGCGGGGGCAAAGGTAGAGAGAAGGAGACAGATCTCAAACATGAAGCTCATCCCATTATTCCTTCCGAGCAGGGAAAGGCATTTAACGTTTGTTAAGGGATTACGACGTGCTTGGGCATCTTAACACGCCTCCTCTCGCGTGATCACACGGGACTCTGGTTGTACCCATGTGTGTTCCTAGTGCGGAATGTGAAGGGAGGTTTTCCAACGGGACTGGAATACATTTTTACTCTCGGAAGAAAAACCAGGTTGCCACTGGTCATTCCCACAGGTCAGGGTCCCAGGAGAAGGGCGAGCAGACCCAATGCCTGAACCCCTGTCGCCGAGAGGAAGGGGGAGCCTGTGCAGAGAGCACAGGCTGGTTGCCGCAGAATTTGGGTTCTTAGAGGCTGCAAGGCGGGGCTGAAGTTCGTAAGGGGCTATCATCTATCTAAGTGTATGGGGAAACTTCCAGAAGGAAGTCATTGTCATGCCCTCCCCCCTTTCGCTTTAGCAAGAGTGATCTGTCCGATGAGGACGACATGCATGTCCTTCCTCTGAAGACTTCGGAGTCACTACATTGTCACCACACAGATAGTTACATCGAGCAGCAAACTGTTTACATGGGGAGCCCCCAGTCCCCCGACACAGGCATGAGACAGGGACAGTGGCTTTCTTCGTCCCCTTTGCCTGGGGGTCCTGAAAATTAAGCTCTTCCTCAACTATTAGGACCAAGGCAGAGTCGAAATGGGAGGCTCAATCTGCATTTTGTAGACATCCTCTTTGTTTAAGTGACTCAGTGTTAGAACTTTGAAAGGTATTCAGCTCCAACGTTGTTTTCTCCCTTCCAAAAATAGCAATTGTCACCCTGGCTGGGAGGGTCAGTGGGTTGGGCGTCATCCTGCAAACCGAAAGGTCACGGGTTCTATTCCCGGTCAGGGCACGTGCCTGGGTTGCAGGCCAGGTTCCCAGTTAGGGGTGTGCGAGAGGCAGCCAATCAATGTCTGTCTCACACATTGATGTTTCTCTCTCTCCCTTTTTTCCTCCCTTCCCCTCTCTCTGAAACAATTAAAAACAAAAACCATAATTTTGTGCACCTTCTGTGTATGTGGCCCCCGGCCTGGAGGGATGCAGAGACGCCCCCCGGCGGGTCCCCCTGTTGGGGAGCAGGACCTGGAGCGTGTATGTGAAATGAGAGGAAGGGGGGGCAAGAAGTGTCCTGGGTGGGATGGGAGGGCCCCAGACTTGCGTGGGAGCTCCTGGGTGTATTCATTTTTGGTGCGTTTAAAGTGCTCTATTCCCATTTGAGTCTGTGGGCAAAATATTCCCAGAGATCCCTGCGCCCTCGAAGGAAGAAGACAAAAGGGAAGACAGACTTCCAAGGCAAAGGTTTCCTGACTTAGGTTTCCTCCAGTAAAAGTCCCTTCTCGACAGGGTTTCCTAATAAGCTCTTGGCAGGGCCCCTATCAAAGTGTGCTGCCAATAAAGAAGAAAGAGAAGAAAAGGGAACAGTCTGTCCACTCCAGGTCTGCCCGTGACGTTCCCATAATTGACCGGCCGAGGTGCCTCATGGTTCTGATGAAACGCGTAGCCGCAGGGACAGCGCTGTGGATGGCAGGGATACCGCTGCTTAAGCCGGCCTGGTGTGAACGCGGACCCAGTCAGCTCACGGCCGGTCTGACTAATAGGTCCTCCGCCTTGTTGTTCTGATTAAATGTGGGGCAAAATGAGCTCTTTTTTTTAGAAGTTCTTAGTGTTATATTTTCTTTCTCTCCCTCTCTGACTCTGTCCCTCTGTCTTTTTGGTGTTAAGTGTGTTTGTTCAGCCCTGACGGGGTGGCTCAGTTGGTTGGAGCATCACTCCGTACACCAAAAGGTTGCAGGTTCGATCCCCAGTCAGAGCACATACCTAGGTTATGGGTTCAATCCCTGGTCAGGGCACGTTCAGGAGGCAACTGGTTGACATTTCTCTCTCACATCTATGTCTCTCTCTCTCTCTCTCCCCTTCTCCCTCCCTCTCTTGCTAAAATCAGTAAACATATCCTCGGGTGAGAATTTAAAAAAAATGTGTCTATTAATTGTTTTAAATAATGTTACCTTTTCTTATACCAGGACATTTTCCTACATTTGCAAAGCCTGTTTGCGACAAGTTAGCGCTTGGAGAGCTGTGTCCTGAGTAGGATTAGGAAAAAGAAAAGATGATTTAATATCACTGAGAGACTTCGGAACACCCAGTCGCCAGTGTGTTTGGAATAACCAAACTGGAAATGGATGTGATAAGGCTTAGGATAAAGTTCAGTCGAATGCAGATAGTATTTCATTTTAATTAGCTCCAGCCCGCATTGTATGAAAGGGCCTTGATAAGTAAAGCAATTTATGACCCACCCCTACCCCCCCTAAACACTGATAGAGTGTGCATTTGTAAAAACAAAACACAAGAGGAAAAGGAAGATTTCAGACTGCTCGTCACACAAACATTTACGAAGCCTCTTTTTGTACTGCTCTGGGCCAGAATCGTGCACCGGTTTTCCTTACATCCTTAATTACCTTTGTTTATTTACTTTTTTTAACCGTTTTGCTCCAAGTGCTTTGTTCATCAGCCCTTTCCTTCGGGGAACAGCCTGGCTGTTCTGAGCGCGCAGTATCAGTCCCTGGTTTTTTCCAAGGGCTGTCATTTAAGCAAACTGAAAGCATTTGTTTTTAACTTGCTCTGTGGCCAAAAGTCTGGAGAAGGGTGGATGTTACAGAAGCACCGGCCAATCGCTGTAAGGGCTCACAGATTTTTTTTAAATTACTTGTTCTGATTCTGTTCCAAGCTGGCTTATAGTTCGACGTTGCTGCCTGCATCTCCCAACCCTTACATTTTCGGATGATGACTCTGGTCCAGCCCTTCCCCGCCCTTTACTTCTCAGCCAGATCGATGACAGAAATAGAAAGATAGAGATGTTATGTTATTAGGCGGGCCCTCGGGGGCTCCTCTGGGGCCTTGGGAGGCTTCAGTTTGAGGCTTCGTTGTAACGCGCTCATTCTCAGAGGTCGGAAAATGATTTCCAGGACCGGAGTCGGCGTTCTGCTTTGGAGGAGGGGACTTTGCCCCCAGAGTTTAATCAAAGCTCAGGCTTCTGTCCAGCAGAGATGCAACGTGGAAGCCGATCTTTCCATTAACCACAGATGGGGTTCGATCTGACAGTTTTGTGTGCTAGAAGCATCTGAAGTGCAAACAAACAAGAAGTTCCTGGCAAGTACAGGCCCAGAGACTGTAGGTGAGACCCGGGTGACCTTGGGGTTGATGAACTGTGTCCCGGGCTGGGGGCAGGCGAGGGCTCCTGCCCAGGGACCAATGGACTTGCTCACAGCGGGGACGGGAGAGATGTCCAGCTCTCTCTTCACGTTTTCAGCACCAGGGTCTAGTGGAATACTGGCTATGAGGAAGGGGTAAAACGTTTGAATTTTGGGATAGGCCTTAAAAGTTGGCGCTTTATTATTTCCTTGGCACAATGGGCGCTTCCACTTAGACGCCTTCTCAAAGTCGACGCGTCCCAGGCGAGATGCTCCGTCTCCGGCCCCGCCTCTGCACGCCGTCCTGTGAACCGCAAGCAGCCCCCTCCCCTCCACGCTTGTCCCAGCATCTCTCAACCCCTTGGGGTGTCCTGCCTCACCTCCCAGTCCCTCCTTGGTCTGGCTTCCCTGTGGTTCCCTGGACCCCAGCCGCACTGGCTTTCAAACCCCAATCGGGTGACGTTTGCTCCTGCCCCTGTGCCGGCTTTGACAGACCACCTTCCTCTGGATCTCCATCCCCCGCCCCTGCCACCGGGCAGCTGGCTTGGAGCCCACGGTTTGACGTGCTCTTTCTGGCAGGTGCATGTTCCTATTCTAGACGTGTGAGATCGTTAGCATCTGTCTCCCCGCTGGCCTGCAGGAGCGGCAGGGCACCGTCTGCGTTCGGCTTGCCGCTCCCGTCCCTGTGCGGCGCTGCCGTGTGGGCGTGGCAAGGGCAGAGAGCGTCCAGGACGGGGCGCTGGGTGCAGAGCCAGTGCCAAGCCGACCTCAACCGCCACAGGCGCCGTCTCGAAGGGTGTCGTGGTCACGTCGGCCATTTAAAACCTATGCTCTGGCTAAAGCTGTGATTTAAACCTATATTAGTCTTCTAGGCACCGTAACAAACGGCCACAGACTGGGTGGCTTAAAGCGACAGAGACCGTTCTGGAGGCCGGATGTCTGAACTCAGGGATCACAGGGCACCGGCCCCTCTGAGGACTCTGGGGAGGGTCCTTCCTTGCCTCCCGTGGCTTCTGGTCGTCCTAGGCATCCCTTGGCTTGTGGCTCCATCCCTCCAATCCCTGTTTCCTTGTCCACAGAAGAGTTTCTCCTTCCGTGTCTCCAATCTCCATCTGCCTTTCTTTTGCGAGGACACTGCCATTAGACGTAAGCCACACTCAGGTGACCCAGGAGGATCTCATCTCAAGATCCTCCATGGAACCCCAGCCCATCAAGCGTGGCTCCGTGGCTTGGGCGTTGTCCTTCAGAGTGAAAGGTCTATGGTTTGGTTCCTGGTCAGGGCACATGCCTGGGTTGTAGGTTTGGTCCTCAGTTGGGGCATGTGTGAGAGGCAACTGATCAATCTCTCTCTCTCTCTCTCTCTCTCTCTCTCTCTCTCTCTTCCTCCCTTCTCTGCTGTCTAAGAATGAATAAAGTCTTTTAAAAAATTTCCAACTCTTCAAAAAAAAAAAGTCTTTAATGACCTGTCACAGGGGAGCAGGCTGCCCCTGAGACCCCGCCAGAGGGGGACCCCCAAACTGTGCCGTGGATCCCACACCATCATCCCCCCTCGAACCGTGTGTTAACATTGAGTTTCACCCAGAACCCAGCTCTGGTGGGGGAGGAGCCAGGACGCCCATACTCCTTCAACCCTCGCGGAGTTATTTTGTGACTTCTGACAACATGCTACCCCACGGCACCTACCTGGCATGGGGGAGTCACTTGATCAGGCTTTGAAGAGGAGGATTCTCCTCCGTCTCGGAATGGGAAGTGTAGCCCAGTGGGCAGAGCAGCCGGAAGGCCCTGGGTTAGCAAGACCGGTGGCGAATGAGCCGGGCAAGACGGACGGGAACGTGCCAGGGAACTCGGCGCCGTCAGCGATATAGGCGCACCACTATTTCATAGTAGCACGTTTAGCAGATTAGGAAATATGGTCCTCGGTATTTTACACCAAGCAAAAGCTTTCTAGTTCAGACAGCGATATATGGGGACCTCGCAAAATGCCATCAGAGGGTGTTAGGAGCAAAATAGCTCATTGAATAGTTTTATTTTTCGTGGGCGTATCTATCGATCCATGGCGATTATAAATGATCTAGGACTTGGGGCGGAGGCTTGTTTCAGGGCTGAATCCAACGTTGTTTTTGAGCTGTTGGTGGTGTGTCGAAGGAACTCGATCTACTGGAGTTTTCTGGACACATGGGTGCTGGGACAGGCTGCCGTACTTCTTTCTAAGCTTCCTGTCCTGTCAAAGACCGAGGATGCTCTTGAGGTCAGTCCCCACCTGGGGCTGTCCTCCCTCAGGACATCGTGGGGAAGGCGAGGCTGAGAGGGCTGAGTGAGCTGCTTGTCCCTTCAGCTCTTGCTCTGCCTTTATGGTCTGTGTGTGTTACCTCAGGGGGCTCCCACAGTGGCTGGGCCGCCTTGGGGTCAGCTCTGGGGTCGCCAGCCTTGGGCGACCTGCAGGTCACCCTGGCCTTCACCACCCCCACCCTGGAGGCTCCCATACTCCACCCCCTCCACCTGCCCTAGGACATGGGAGTTGTTCCTCCATCCCCCACCTTTTAAAAGTGGAAAGACTCTCCCAGCTTGAAATACTCTTACATGCACACGCACAATTGTTACAGTCATGTGCCAGGCACCGATGTGAACGCTTAATATATGCCAATCTCTATGCCAGCGCCCCTGCATGGCAACACACGGCGACCCATTGTACAGATGGACAAACTGAGGCCAGCCGGGAAAGTCAGCTGCCCTAAGTCCCAGCTACTCAGTGTGAAGCTGGGTGTTGAATCCAGGCAGCTTGGCTCCTGGATCCCGGCCCTTAAATATCCCTTCCTCTGCTTCTCAAACATTCTCCCATGGTTGTGAAGGCAGATCATGCCAATTTAAAGAAATGATACAACCCTGCAAATAATTTTTACGTTTTTAAATTAGCAATAATGTCACCACCAGGGAATTGCCGCTATTAATATTTTGCTGTTCCCCTTTCTGGGATTTTCTCTATGACTGTATTGGTACCATGTTTCCAGTGGCTGCTAAAAATCTCAATATATGGATTATAAAAATTTCCTTACGTGTGTGCTTACTATATCTTGCTTCTGACTTCTGATGTCTATTTGACCAATTCCTCTCCTCTCTTATTATTTCTTTTAATTCTGGTGACAGGGGTCACCAGATGGTTGGAAATGTTGTGAGATCTTTGTTTTGTTTTGTTTTGTTTTGTTTTATTTTAGTAGCATTACTTCCAAGTCCAGAGCAGTACTATTTGCCCCTCCACATACACAGACAAGCTCTCATTTTTCAACTGTGGTGACTTTGAAATAAAAATGTCACCTTGGAACTTACCGTTGCAGACATCTAAGATGACACGGATATTCATGAAAAGGACACCACATAAAATCAGGAGACCGCTTTTAAAATAAATCATAGGGAGAAGGGTCGCGAGGCTGGGGGAAAAACGTGAAGAGATTAAGAACACAAACTCACAAACACAGACAACAGCGCAGCGATGACCAGAGGGAAAGGGGGCGGGGGCGGGGGGGCGGGACACATAGTGATGGAGGGAGACTGGACTCGGGGCGGTGAACACACAATACACTACACAGATGGTGTGTTACAGAATGGTACGCCTGAAACCGGTATAATTTTATTAACCAGTGTCACCCCAATACAGTCCATAAAAAAGAAAGTAAAAAAATAAAGTAAAATAAACGAAAATCAACTGTAACGGCGTTTCTCTGTGATAGGTGAAATGGCTCCAACAACAGGAAGTTAAACGCAGGGTGAAGAGACAGGTGCGAAGTGACCCCCAGGCCTTTTATTTCGATGACCCCATTTGGCCCAACATGTGGTACCTGGTGAGTACGGTGTGGCCTGTCTGTCCCCGGGCCTTTGCAGCGGCTCTGTCTCTGGGATAGGATATTAATAGCCACCCGCCCCACCCCCACACCCCGACGCAGTAACTCCAAACAGACGCACTTCATCTTGGGTGTAAACCACCGCTTTCATGCTGGGCGGCACCAGCTTTCTAGTGAATTTCTTTGTTTTTTTTTTAGAAATTGTGTGGAAGTCCCTGGGTGGGCGGGGCGGGGGGCGCTCACTGAGCAAGGAAGCAGTTTGATGACGGATGTGGGGCTAAGTCATTGGTGACCATGAGCCCCCGGACCAGGGCCGCCAAAGAAAGATGGTGTCCTAGGAGAATGAGAGATTGTCAGGGGCGGAGCAAGTACACAGAGCTCCGCGCAGTGCCCCCCACGCCCGCGCTCCCCGCCCCGCCCCTCCCCGCCGGGTGCCCAGCATTTGCTCTCCCAGAAATAGCGGAGAAAGGGCAGCTCTAAGGCACCAGGCAAGCGCTGCTTCCTCCCCACCTGCTCCCCAGCCCCGGAGCGCCTCTGCTTGGTCACACTGTGTGCCTCTTCTGGGTCAAGAATGTCCTTGTGTCTCTGTGCACACAGCACTGCAAGGAGAAGAACAGTCGCTGCCGCGCGGAAATGAACGTCCTGGCAGCGTGGAAGCGAGGCTACACGGGGAAGAACGTGGTGGTCACCATCCTGGATGATGGCATAGAGAGGAACCATCCCGACCTGGCCCCCAATTACGTAAGTCCCGTGTGGGGAGCAACACGCTAGTCTCGTCCCGCTCGTCAAATAAGCACAGGTTGGAACTGGGCGGGTCTCCTTATACACCGATTTCTTTTTCAACCAATACTGTAATTGTGTTTTCTCTTCTTTATGATTTCCTTAAGAACGTTCTTTTCTCTAGCTTACTTTATTATAAGAATACAGTATACAGGACACATACATACAAAATGCGTGTTAATCGACTGTTTGTGGGCTCCGGAAGGCTTCCGGTCGATAGTAGGCCATCAGCAGTTAGGTTTGGGGGCAGTCACAAGTCATACATGGAGTGGACGGTGGAGGCATTGAGCAAAAGAGAACAAAAAGGAAAGAGAAAAAAGACTCACAGACCACAGTATGGTGATTGCAGGGCTGGAATGAGGTGGAGGAGGGTTTTGGGGATGGATGGAGACTAAACATATACACAAATCAAATTTTAAAAATTCATACGTGGATTTTTGACCACATGGAGGTCGAGGACTCCAGCCCCCACATTGTTTAAGGATCAACTGTACGAGGAATTTTGCAGGTGGGGAGGGAAGCCGTGCTGGGAAGGGGAGGCTGAAACAAGCTTTCCCTTGTCCCCTGGACGAGGGAGAGTTTTGCTGACGGATTTGGCCACGTGTTGGAGGAGTTGCATCTGTTTCTAGGACTAGATTCTAAAAAGCTGAGAAACGCATCCGACCGATATTAACAACATGGGAAATGACAGGATTGAAACCAGCCGGGTGCCTGTCCTGGTTCTGAGACTTAGGGACTCAGAGGCCTGGGGCAGGTTGCTTAACTTCTCTGTGCCCTGGTGCCACCATCGGCCACTTGAGGTTACTGATGGGGCTTCAGTTTCATAGGGTCATTGTGAGGATTAAGTGGGTTCTCAACTGTTAAGAAGAGAACCTGGCACGCAGTGAACGTGGTTAAGTGCTGTCCGTGGTCTTGGGAACCCGGATGCCTCACTATGGCTCCTTCGATCGGATCCTGTCCATTTGACAGACAGGGAGGCAGCCCTTAGAAATGCCAGTTTCAAAGCCTCTGCCGATGACACCTGAGAGCTTTGGTGACATGCTTTCAATGGAAGATGTCAAATTATAGAAATACTCTGATCACAAGTGTATAAACAAAAACGTACGTGTTAGAAATATAAGATCCAGGAAATTCTGACGCGTGCTACAATGTGCACGAACCCGGAAGACTTGTGCAGAGTGAAAGAAGCCAGTGACAAAGGACATATCCTGGCTGATTCCACTTAGCTGAGGCTCGGAGAGTCGTCACGGTCGTAGAGACAGGACAAGGAACAGTGGTCGCCAGGGGCTGGGGGAGCGGGGCCGTGCCTCTTCACTCACTGAGATTTCATTCCTTAGGATTCCTACGCCAGTTACGACATCAACGGAAATGATTTCGACCCCTCTCCACGATACGACGCCAGCAATGAAAACAAGTATGTCACGTGGTCTCCCCTTTCCTGGCTTCCCCGCGCCCACTCCCTGCAGAACCCCCGTTGAAATGACCTGACCCCTGTCCGGCGCTCACGCAGGAGCCCGCAGCCAAGCCTGGCATGGCCCCCAGGTTCAGGGAAGCCTCTATGACCTTAGCCTTGCACCTACTGTTCTCCGTGACCCGCTGAGTCAGACAGCAGTTTGGCCGGTTGGAGCACACGGGTCACGTGACCTGGTGCGGGTGGCAGAGGGGATCTGAGTGATGTCGGAGACGTTGGGGTTCAAACCCCGGACCTGCGATCGCTGGCTGCGTGGCTCTGTGTGAGCCGGGTCCCTTTACGCAGTCTCTTGAGTGCTAGAGACGCTCCCGTGGACAGGATTCTCCTGACCTCCCAGGGTTGCGGTGGGGACAGTGAGGTAACAGGTGAAGACCACACTGCAGGCAGTCAGTCCCCAACAGTTGTCATTGTCATTTCGCTGACGCAGGCAGTAGGGCCTGCACGCTGTACTGGGCAGCCCTGGGGGTGGAATCCAGCTTCTCGAACCTGGTCCTGGGACTTTATTTGCTGGGTCCCGCTTGTCCTTTCTCTATTAGCACGTCCTACGCCCTGAGCGCTTAGCATGCTTCCAAAACTATGTAGAGGCCAAGAATAAAAAGCCCTTTCTTTCTCCCCCACCGTTGACACGCTGCTGGCCAAGGTACGCCCTATCAACGTAGTATTTCAGTTTCCGGGGGATTCGATTCTGAGGTTCAGATTCCGCTGCCCACACGGCGCTGTGCAGGGAGGCTCGGCCAGCTGATGGTCAACGCCGCAGGCTGCACTGCTCCCGGATCTGCAGAGGCCGAGCCCGGGGCCGCTGTCCCTGCCTCACGTCCCAAGGTGCCCTTCGCGCTCAGCAGGGAGCGTGCCTGGGGTGCAGGGCGCCTCGTTCCCCAGCCTCGCGGTCACAGGGCAGCACCGAATGATCCGGAAACCACGCAGTGACCCTTGAAGGGCAGGATTAATCCTGGGTGAGACATTGAGCTCCGTGACCTCGTGACCAGCCCTGGCCGTGTGTGTGAGGCCCAGAGGAGGATGGATGAGCCCCTCCCAGGGGCTAACACGCAGGCCAGGGCTATTTTTAAAGGTGGTTTTAGATTTACATCAATAAGTCGAATCCCCTGTGGCTGCTTCTCAAAGAGGTGCTGTTTAAACCTGCCCGTGTTTTGGCCTCCGCTGGAGGAATTGACCCGCTGCAGCACACTGGAAAATGGGGTCATTACTGAGGAAAGCAATTTGTTTTTCTGGTAATTTCTTCATGGTCCCTCCGCCGCTGTTGGGCGTTCGACTTAGAGTGTTTTTTCTTCAGCTCCTGCTTAAATGGCGTGCAGATGGCGGGAGGGCCGTCCAAGGGGAGCGCAGGCGTGGGAGGTGCACCCCGCAGGAGACAGGAGGACTCATTTTGTTCTTTCTTCCGTCCTCTCCACCAAGCAGGTGTTGACGCTGCACCTGTGTGTGCCAAGCAAGGTGTTGTCAGTCGGAGGAAAGGAGAGTTTGAGAGGAGGGGGCGCCGGCCCTGGGAGCTGGAACCCCCAGTCCAACGTGGGGTATAGGGAGAGAGGACCTCAGCCAGCGTTCCCCATTTTTTATTTTTTTCCAAGAATTTATTTATTTATTTTTAGAAAGAGGGGAAGGGAGAAAGAAAGAGAGGGAAACACCCATCAGTTGCTTCCTGCATGTGCCCCAACTGGAGACCAAACCGGTAACCCTGGCACATGCTCTGACCGGGAACCGAGCTGGTGACCTTTCGCTTTGGGGGATGATGCTCAACCCACTGAGCCACGCCAGTCAGGGTGCGTGCACCATTTTCAAAGTGGCAGGGAGGCCTCGCCAGCTTGCAGGGGTGGAAGGGGCAGGGCTGCCCAGGGCTATGCTAAGCCTGACGTGACGCTGCCTCCCGGGGTCGCTGGGGACAGGAGATGCAGGACGTGGGCTTTCGTGCCTTTCCTGGGTGTATGGATGACGGAGTCTTCCCGCCGGAGACCAGAGCAACGCGCCGAATTCGCTAGAACTGCTGAGCGGAGCCCTCACTTCATTTTTCCCTCGATTTCAGGCACGGTACACGTTGCGCAGGGGAAGTCGCCGCCTATGCCAACAACTCCTGCTGCATCGTGGGCATAGCGTACAACGCAAAGATAGGAGGTAAGGCCCGGGCAGGGCAGGCAGCCTGGGGCCTCCGGGGCCTGGGCGCCGGACGTCCCTTCCTGCGCGTCCCAGCCGCACCCTCGCTGGCCTTGGCCAACCGTGTCGGACCCGTGGGCGCGAAGCCTCCTGCCCTCCCCGAGCCACAGCCAGGCAGCCCCCGCATGCGCTGGGGCTTGGAGGCAGAGGGCTTGCTCATGGTTTTCCCTGAGAAGCCACCACGGGTCCCATGAGAAAGGCACCCTCTCTCATACTTATATCCCTGCTAGTCTGGCCACTGAGTGACCTCTATCCACCAGGCCACTTCTCCTAAAAGGCCATGCTGGCTCGCCCCTCCTCGCTGTCCTACCGTGGATCTCTGACACTCTCCCAACACAGTTCCCAGACGAAGGCCTCTCCTAGGTCCCAGCTCCCTCTCCGGCCCGCCTGTCCGGTCCCTGCCCCTCAGCCGCAATCACAGGAACTTTGTCATGATGTCCCCCAGACACGCGAGGGGCGCGCAGCATTCTCATGACCCCAGAACCTCTCTTTTTGGCTCTCCGTGTGGCTCGGTCCATCCATGACTGTGGCCAGCTGTGCTCCATGAAGTGCTGCCCAAATCTAGCTTCACCCCCGCCCCGCCCCGCCCCGCCCCGTGGTCTCCTCTGCCAGAGGGTTCAGCCCTTCCCGGTCCCTGACCCCGGCTCTCTGTCGCTCTGTTGTTCGGCTTCTCCATTGGTGAGTGCAGCTTCCATTGCTCGGATGGGGCTTTACAGCAGAGAGTCCCACGTCTCCCTGATCCCTGCCTGGCACTGTGGCCGCTCACACCGGCAGACTGTCACCAAGCGCTCTGCTGAGACTGTTGGGTGCGCACGGCCGAGCTGGGGGCTGAGCAGGTGTACGCTGGGGGCGTGAACAGCTCTCAGCAGGTCCACCTAACGTCCGGCCACCACCGTCCTCCCGCACTGGGACTCTGTCTCTCAGCTTGAAATTGCTCATGCGCACTCTGCTGGCCAGGCGGGGGGGCCACCTGCCCGGGGCATTGCCTTCGCTGTTGCTCTGCCCTGTGGGCTGGCGGTAGCCCCTCCGCAGTGCAAGGTGGGAGATGGGACCAGCGGCTCCCTGGGTCACCCCCTCCTTGGAGAACTTGAGTTTTGAAAAACGGATCCCCAGCTTGGCCTTAACTAGAACCTTGCCTGCTCTTTCCCTTGGAAGCCTCTGAAGCAGCTGGGATTTGCCATTCTACGGGAGCGTGATCTGCCTACGATGTGTCTGTCCTCCAGAACAAATCAGGAGACCCTGTCCCCTGGCCTTGCTCTTTCATGGAAAGTTCTTTTCCATGGAGATGAGAAAGTTCTCCCTGGAGCCTCCTGTGAGTGAAGATGCCCGAGAAGTCTCCCCATGAGCCTTAGACCAGGCAGACCTGGGGACCACTCTCATTCCCAGAACCCGCTGGCTGTGTGTTCTTGAACTGCCAATGCAACCTCTCTGAGCCGAGGTTCCTTCCCCTATCGGGGAAAGATGGCAGCGATGCTGCTGCCTCCCCAGATCTGCCGTGACAATAAAGTCATCTGTCATACGTGGAAACATTAACTTGGGGCTAAGTCTGCAGGGGGCCTCTGAGCCACTCTGTCCCTCCTGCTGAAACTCTCAGAGGCCAACTGCAAATCACTTCCATTGCTTTGAGTGAGAAGCAGACCCCCGCCTTCGGGGTTGTCTGAGTCTTGCTCTCCAAAGCCCCTGGCGGGGCAGCAGTGACGTCGTCGTCTGGGAGCTGTGAGAAAGGCAGGCCCCTAGCCTCCAGCCCAGGCCCACGGAGTCAGCATCTGCATTGTAACAAGACCCCCAGAGGGTGCGGCAACCAATGGCAGCTTGAGAAGTGCTGGTGTAGAGGCTCTGGAGTCGTGGGCTGTAAGGCGGGGCCGCTCAAGTCAGGAAGCTGAGGATGCGCATAGGGAACGTGGTTTGTTCCGGCTGGATTTGCCCTGCGCTCGCTGCAGGATTGTCCGCCCAGATTCCCCTGATTCTGGAGAGAGCGCCTCTACCACCAGGTCCCTGGAACAGGAATTATAATTAATGCATCGAATATACTTGAGCGTGAACTTCACGTGATACAGTTAGGGAGCTCGGGGAGCTCAGCGTGTCTTTGAAGGGTGCCAACGTAAAAGACAGTCGAGGACCAAGAGCTGAAGTGACAGAGGCACACAGGGAGTGGCAGGAGAGGCCCGCGGTGAGGACACAGGGTTTTGACATGAGAGGATGCAGCTGGGGATGGAGGAGAAGCTGGACAAACAATAGGAGCATGGCACAGGGAACAATAGGAGCATGCCACAGGGGGGCAGGGGCCGTGGGTGGGGCTGCCATGGAGAGGCAAGGGTGTAGGTTGAGGTCGGGACAGCCACGTGCACAGCTTCTTCCGCTTCACACAGGGAGTCACCCCTGTGAGCCCACCCTGGGCAGGGCGACCTTCAGGCGCCCCTGACCTAGCCTCCCTGCGGTATAGTGAAGCGCCCAGCAGAGAATTGCTCTTGAGAGACCTGGAGCCAAATCTTTTTTTAAAATGTAATTTATTTATTTTTAGACAGAGGGGAAGGGTGGGAGAAAGAGAGGGAGAGAAACGTCAGTGTGTGGTTGCCTCTCTCGCGCCCCCCACTGGGGACCTGGCCCGCAACCCAGGCATGTATCCAGACTGGGAATCGAACTGGCGACCCTTTGGTTCTCAGTTTGGCGCTCAGTCCACTGATCCATACCAGCCAGGGCTGAATCTTTTTATGTTTATTTGCAAGTCGTTGCTCAGGAGATTGAAATGCATGTCCTCACTCACCCAATCCATCTGGATAATAGATGCATGTGTGATGTATGAGACTGAAACAGATTATCTGAGTTCCCCCTCACTCTCGTCCTTTGGGCCGTTACATTTACAGGTTTGCTTCCCATGTTGTTAAACCCACAATGCATTGCTGTGCTTGCTTTAAACAGTGGACTTTTTAATGACAAGAAATATTCTTGCCTACGTAGTTACCATTCCCAGTGCTCTCGGGTACTTTCTAGCTTCTATTTCCATCTGCTTTTAATTTTCCTTCGGTCTGAAAATCTCTTATGGTATTTCTTGAAGTGCAGGTACGCTGGTGAGAAATTATTTCAGCTTTTACCTCAACATGTCGCTGGACATAGAATTCTAGTGAGGCATGTTTTTCTTTGAGCACTTTAAAAATGTTATTCCATTGTTTCCTGGTGTCCATTGTTTCTGATGACCAGTCAGATGTCATTCTTATTTGTTTTCCCCTGTATATAATGTAACTGTTCCTTTGCCTGCTTTTATCATGTGTTTTTAAAATCTGCCCTTTGGTGTGATTTTCTTCATACCTACCCAGCTGGAGGTTTGCTGTGCTTCCTAGTGCGTTGTTCTTTTTTGTTTTCCTAAGTCAAATTTGGAAACATTTCTGTCAATATTTCTTCAAATATTTTTTTCAACCCTGTCTTCTCTCCCCTGTCTTTGGGCACCAATGACAGCTGTTAGCTACTGAGGCTGTGTTTATTTTTTAAAATCCTTTTTTCCTCTGTGTGATTTGTATCAGACTGCCTTCAGGTTCACTAGCTCTTTATTATTTTGCTATATCTAATCTGTTAATTTTATCCATTGATTTTTTTAAACTTTCAGGTACTGTGATTTTTTTTGTCCTATGATTTCCATTTGGTTCTTTTATACTGTTTCCAAATCTTTCCTGAGATTCCCTTTCTCTTCACTCAGTATATCTATCTTTCATTTTAGAGTCCTTAATATATTTATGAGTTATGTTAAAATATTTTGTACTAATTCCAGTATCTATGTCATTTGTAGGTATGTTCCTAGTGATTAATTTTTCTTTCTACAGTGGGTCATATATATTTTTTACTTTACATATGTCTAGTACTTTTTTTTATTATACACTAGACATTGTTATACTATATTGTAGAGACTCTGGATTCTGTTATCCTTGAGTACTGTTCTATTCTAGCAGTCAGTTCATCTTTGAACTTTCAGGGGCTTGATTATTCATTTTTAATGATCTCTTTCTGACTTGTCCTTTGCCGTAGGGAAAATTCTTTAGCCCAAGCACCTAGTCTTTATTCTCAGATCATCACACTACTGGTATTTCAATGGAAAGAATGAAATGTTTACCAAGATCTCTAATTCAGCGAGACTCAGACTCCAAATTGACCAAAATCTCTGCTTAGCTCATTCAACCTCCAGCTGTCCTTTTCCTCCTGGACTTCTTAGCGTCTTGCCCAAACATGTTTAGTTCATGGGCCATCCAAGTGTTTGGGAGGTGGCGTATGTCCTCTTCCCTAGCTCCCTCTCTTCTGGGATTTCTCTGCATCTCCAGCTTGTCTCAGTCCTAAACCCCATCCCATCCCGCCCCAGGGGAGTAAGAGTGCATGTTCCTACTTGAGTTCTAGCCTCTCAGGACCAAGAGGACTGGGAGATCCCGCAGAGGAAAACCATTGGCCCTCAGATCCTCCCCAGTGTGGTTCCCTTCTTTCAAGAACTGAATCCCTTGCTTGCCTCTGCCTTCCTCTGGTTGCTTTCCAATAATCTTCCAAGGGTGTGTTTTTTTTTTTAAAAAAACTTTTTAAAATCAACCTTATGTCCGGAGTTTATAATTACTATCTTTAGAAGAGTTAGTGCGATAGAAGCCGCTCTGCTGTCGTTGGGACCAAAACTCGTGGCTTGTACTCTTTGCCAAATAGATGGTGTATTCACAATCTATTCATGCAGGACTGTTAGTCCAAAACACAGCTGTTGAAAACGAGAAGCATTTGTCATCCAGCCCCAACAGTGGCTCAGCTGAGGGATTCTGGCTCAGGGTCACTGATAAGGCCACCATCAAGCTGTTGGGTGTGACTGTCATCTGACAGCTTGACCGGGGCCGAGGATCAACTTCCAAGACGGGTCCCCTGTTTGGCTGTTGGCGGGAGGTCTTGGTTCCTCACCATGGGAACCAGTACATGGGTTGCTTAGGGGCTCCCCATAACACGGT